TGGAAGAAATAAAATTTTTAAAAATATAAGATGGGGGACTGGCAGGTGGCATGGGAGTTAAGGCACTAGACTCCCACATGGTCACCCAGTTTGGGTCCTGAACCTGGCAACTTGCTCTCACTCCCCACCCCAGTCAAATTAAAATAAGTTAATTAATTAATTTAATAAGGGGACCAGCAGATGGTGTAATGGCTATGTTGCTGGACTCCCATGTAGTCGACCGCGGTTCAAGTCCCAGACCTGGTGGCTTAAATTCATGCTGGGCACATGTGCGAACGTGCCCAAGATCCCGAGAGGAGAATGGAGGAGAAGGGCTTGCGGCGTGGCCATCCCCCCTGGGGGGTGACTTCTCGCTTTCTGTCTCTCTGTCTCTGTCTTTCTGGCGAGTGCACATGCCTTATAGCAAAAACCTCTCCAAAAAAATTAATTTAATTTGATAAATAATTCTTTAAAAATAAATAAATAAATAAAATGGGGGTCAGCAGGTGGTGTGTTAGTTAAGGCACTGGATTCCCACATGGTCAACCACAGTTTAAGTCCTAGGCCTGGTGGCTTGAGACTCACAGTAGCTCGTGTGTGTGCATGCCCAAAATCCTAAGGGGAGATGGCAGAGAAGGGATTGTGGTGTAGCCATCTCTAGGGGGTGATTTCTCGCTTTCTCTTTCTCTCTCTGTCTTTCCAGTGAACATGCACACTCTATAGCAAAAATCTCTCTAAAAAAAAAAAAAGAAAGAAAGAAAGAAAATGGAGTGACGGATTGAGGTATATAATATGAAAATTTTTTCAACTTTACCGTATGCTTGAAATCATTTATAATAAAACATTGGAGGGAAAGGATTTATTCCAAAATCCAATTTATATTTTTTTAGGTTTTTGCCACAGAGTGCATGCACTCACTGGAGAGAGACAGAGAGAGAAAAAGTAAGAAATTATCTACTGGGGTGTTGGCCTGCTGCATTCCCTTCTCCTCCACTCTCTGCTCCAGATTTTGGTCACATACACACACGTGCCTGGAGTGATTCTTAAGCTGCCAGGTCTGGGACTCAAACCGTGAAGTTTGCCATATGAAATCCAGTGCTTTAACCTCCACACCACCTGCTGGCCCACACCACCTGCTGGCCCATATGATTCAATTTTTAAAACTCAGGGCAGGAAGAGAGAAAATGGGCCCATTTCCAAAAACTGATAAAGAACTCAGACAAATGGGGCCAGCAGGTGGTGTGGTCATTAACGTGCTGGACTCCCATATGGTCGACCACAGTTCAAGTCCTGGACCTGGCGGCTTGAAAATCACACCAGATGCATGTGTGTGCTTGCCCAAAATCCCAGGAGGAAAATGGAGAAGAAGGGATTGCAGCGTGGCCATTCCCCCACTGGGTGACTTCTCACTTTCCCTCTCACTGTCTCTCTTTCTCTCTCCAGTGAGTATACACTGTCTCTGGCAAAAAAAAAAAAAAAAAAAAGACAGAAGAAAGAAAGAACAAACTCAGACAAAAAGCACACCAGACTCAGATACAGAGGCACACGTGTCAGGCCTGAGTTCCGAACCAACCTAAACAAGCTGGGCATGGTGACACACACCTGTGACCCTAGGTAACTGGGAGGCTGGGACAGGCAAATTGTGACATGAAGAGACCTGGTCAGAAATCTCTCTCTCTCGCTATCTCTTCACTTCTCTCTCTACTCTCTCTCCCACTGTCTCTCATTAAAAACAAAAACAAGGCCAGTCCGGTAACACGGCTGTTAAACTCTGTGCATACAGAGTCGGATCCCACATAGCCAACTGTCATGCCATACCCAGCCCTGGAATCTTGAAAAGCTCACCAGGCATGTGTGCATGTATGCTCAACGTCCTGATGAGATGGAGAAATGGAGAAGAAGGATGGTGGCATGTCCACACCCCACTGGTCAATACTTCCTTCTCTCTCTCTCTCTCTCTCTCACATGAGCCCTCTGGGAATTGAAAAAAAAAAAGTTAAAAACAACCAAAACACTGAATAATCATAGAGACAGCTAACAAGGACTGCAAGAATGTAAAGGAAGTGGAACCTTCAACACCTTACTGGTGGGGATGTAAAATGGTGTAGTCACTTTAGGAAACAATTTAGCAGTTCCTCAAAGTAGTAAAAACAGAATTGTCATCATCTAGCAATCTATTGCTACTCAAGAGGAATGAACACACATGTCCACACAAAAACTTACACATGGATATTCACAGCAGCATCATCCAGAAGAGCCAAAAAGTGAGAAGAGCCCAAATGTCCCTTGACTGATGAAAGAATAAACAGAGGGAGGTATAGCCATCCTCATAAGGGACCACTGTTGGCAACAAAGAAACGAAACACTGACACATCTTACAACACCAATGAACCCTTGAAAACACTCTGCTCAGTAAAGGATGCTAGGTATGAAAGATCACATTTTGATGATTCCATTTCTATGAAATGTCCAGAATAGGCAAATCCATAGAGACAGAAGAGATTGGAAGTTCCCTTGGGACCAACAGGTGGTGGTTAAAGTGCTGGACTCCCACATGGCTAACAACAGTTCAAATCCCAGACCTGGCGGCTTGAAAATCACTCTGGGTGCATGTGTGTGCATGCCTAAAATCCAAAGACGAGAATGGAGGAGAAGAGATTGTAGTGTGGCCATTCTCTGTGGGTGGTGATTTCTTACTTTCCCTCTCTGCCTGCCTCTGGCAAGTGCATATGCCCTATGGCAATAAATAAGGAAGAAGAAAGACCTAAACCCATAAAATTAAGTGCAAATAAAGGAAAGGAAAACTAATTTGCTATCAAGTGGCTTTTATCTTCACTTAAAAATAAAAATAAAAGAGTTGCTTCTGGCTGAGAAGTGAAGGAGGAGATGGGGGATGATGGCTAAAAAGGATGTAGGGTTTGTTTTTGAAATAATGAAAGTATTCTGAAATTAATTGTAGCAATGGATGCACAACTGAATACATTTGAAGTCATTGAACTTTACACTTTAAAAGGGTGAAATGGTATGTGAATTATACCAATAAAGCTATTGACGAAGGGGCCAGCAGACGGTGTAGCGATTATGTTGCTGGACTCCCACATGGTCGCCTGTGGTTCAAATCCTGGACCTACCTGGTGGCTTAAAACTCATGCCAGTTGTGTGTGGGTACAGGAGGAAAATGGAGAAGGGAGTGCAGCATGGCCATCGGCCCAGGGGGCTGATTTCTCTCTTTC